CCACTCAGTCAACTTATCCAAATCACTGAAACATTTCTGCCTCCTCCTCACAGTTCACCCTCCCACCCAGATTTGAATCATCTGCAAGCTTGGAGATATTACATTTAGTTCTCTCATCTAAATAGATGTATTGTGAATACCTGGGGTCCAAGCATTGATCCCTGTGGTAACCCACTAGTCACTGGCTGCCGCTCCAAAAATTACCCATTTATTCTTACGATTTGCTTCCTGTCTGCCAGCCAGTTCTCTATCCAAGTCAGTGTACTACCCCAATCTTATGTTTTAATTTAGCGTGTTAATTTCTTACCTGGACCTTATTGGAAGCCTTCTAAAAGTCCAACAAACCACATTCACTGGTTCCCCTTTATCAACTCTACTACAGCAAACTTTGTTTTAACCTACACTCTTGATAAACCAGCAAAAATTATATAAAATACCAGAAGTTTACTGTATTATCATGATTTCCGCAATATCTGAGCAGTCAGTTGAGGGTGTGAGTGAGAAGGCTATCTGCCAGTAACTTTTATTTAAGGTAACATTGCATTATTATTTAAGTGATGTATGCTGTAAGTAAAAGATAACAGTGCTGTGTACACCCCCTGCATTATATTTCTATTACTTTGTGTGTTTTCACATTGATTGTGTGAACCTCCTGCTCAACCAGAATATTTGATCAACTGAAACACTCCTGGTCCCATAGATGCTGGTTAATAAAAAGTTTTTAGTTACAATGTGGGTGGTGGTAGAGGGTTGCTTTTCAGGCTGGAGATGTGTGATCAGCAATGTGCCACAAGGATTGGTGCTGGATCCATTGCTTTTTGTCATCCATATAAATGACTTAGATGTGAACATAGGGGGTTTGGTTAGTAAGTTTGCAGATGACACTAAAATTGGAGGTGTAGTGGACAGCAAAGAAGGTTATTTCAGAGTACAATGGGATCTTGATCAGATGGGCTAATGGGCCGAAGAGTGGCAGATGGTGTTTAATTTAGATAAATGTGAAGTGCTGCATTTTGGAAAGGCAAATCACGGCAGGACTTATACACTTAATGGTAAGGTTCTGGGGAATTTTTTTGAACAAAGAGACTTTGGAGCACAGGTTCATAGTTTGTTGAAAGTGGAGTCACAGGTAGATAGGATAGTGAAGAAGGCATTTGGTATTCTTGCGCTTATTGGTCAGTGCATTGAGTATAAGAGTTGGGAGACCATGTTGTGGTTCTACAGGGAATTAGTTCGGCCACTTTAGGAGTATTGTGTGCAATTCTGGTCTCCCTCCTATAGGAAGCATGTTGTGAAACTAGCAAGGGTTCAGAAGAGATTTATGAGGATGTTGCCAGGGTTGGAGGGTTTGAGCTAGAGGGAGAGGCTGAATAGGCTAGGGCTACTTTTCCTGGAGCATCAGAAGCAGATTTTTATGAAATCATGAGGGGCATGGATAGGGTAAATAGACAAGGTCATTTCCCTGGGGTGGGAAAATCCAAAACTAGAAGGCATAGGTTTAAGGTGAGAGGGGAAAGATATAAAAGGGACCTAAGGAGCAATTTTTTCAAGCAGGGGGTGGTGAGTATAAGAATGAGCTGCCAAATGAAGTGTTGGAGGTTGGTATGATTACAATATTTAAAAGGCATCTGGATAAGTATATGAATAGGAAGGGTTTAGAGGTATATGGGCCAAATGCTGGCAAATGGGATTAGATTTATATAGGATATCTGGTCAACACGGACAAGTTGGACCACAGGGTCTGTTTCCATACTTTATATCTCGATGACTCTAACCTCAAAAAATGTCAAGCAATGTTTCCCTTTTGTAAATCCATGTTGATTTTGCCCAATCCAGTCACTGCTTTCCAACTGTTCTGCTTTCAAATCTTTTATAGTAGGCTGTACAATTTCCCTACCTCTAATGTCAAGCTAACCTGTCTATAATATCCTGTTTTCTTTCTACTTCCCTTTTTAAATAGTGCAGTTACAGTAGCTACCCTCCAATCATTAAGAACTGTTCCAAAGTCTGTAGAATCTTGAAAGAGGAACACCAATGCATACACTATTTCAAGAACTACTTCCTTAAGTACTGAGATGTAGATTATTGGGCCCTGGGGATTTTAATCAGTTTTTAATCCATTAGCCAGAGGTTGCAAAGAAATAGAGAGAAAGGTACAAGCTGCCGACATCGCTGCCTGAGAAGACATTAGCTAGAGGCTGCAGAAAGATAAAGACAGAGGTGTACCAGCTGCCAACATCGCTAATAGGAGGTACTGAATGCAAAGATGCTGACACGAAGAAAGAAGCAGCTTGTGAGCTAAAAATGACTTGCGCCCAGGTGCTAGTTTGAGCCAATTTAGACCAGCTTGAATTAACTAAGTTCTGCAAAAAGTGAGAAAGATGAGGTAATGCAAAAGCTGTATTTGGACAAGAAGTAATGAGGTAATGCTACCTAAGTCTCTGGGCCAGGGCTAATAAGGTAAATGTATGCAATAAGTGGATTTGCCTGAGCTAACGGGAAGAAGACAGCATGACTTGAGAGAAATAAGATTAAGAATAAAAAGAAAGTCCTTGGGACACACAGCCAGCAAAAACTCTAGAGGCCAAACAAGACAGAGGCAGACCCTACGTCAAGGCTGTGATGATGACATAGAGTGCAGCGCCTGGCCAGTAACAGCTATCCTGATTGGGTATTAGCTTTTATATTCTGAGACTATTTGGGGAGTGTCAGAGGACTCTAGTGGGTGTATAAGTAGGTCCTAGTTCAGTCTGTGGGAAAATATATAAGGTCTAGTTTTGTGATAAAAACATTTAAGCAACATGTGCCTTGTTTAATAAAGTAATGTGTGAAGTTACGAGAATTGACTCTTCTCTGTATAAGCCGATAACCGGAACCAGTGTCCTCCAGGCTCCTGACAACAAATCTCATCAATTTTCTCAATGCTGTTTCCCCTACTAATTTTGATTTCATTCACTTTCTCCCTGTTACTGTGTTCCATATTTCCCAACATTTTTGGAGCATTACGAAGACAAGAAGCAAAATGTATATTTAATTGGTCTGTTGTCTTTGTCTCCCATTATAACTTGCCTTGTTTCTGATCACAATGGACCTACATTTGTTTCACTAATCTTTTTCTCTATACATGTCTTTAGATGCTTTTACAATTGGTTGTATGTTTCTCGCAAGTTTACTGTTACCCTCTTAATCGATTTCTTTGTCCTCCTTTACTGAAATCTAAACTGCTTCAATCATCAGGTCTGCTGCTCTTTTTGGCCAATTTTTGCCGTTTACTTGGATCTAATACTATCCCTAATTGCCCTTGTGAGCCATGTTTGGGTCACCTTTCCAGTTTTTATTTTGCACCATGTAGGAACAAACATCTGTTGTACTTCTTCCACGAAATCTTTTAAAATTTGCCATTGCCTGCCTGTCATCATCCCTTTAAATAATATTCCCCAATTTGTCAGGGCCATCTCGTGCCTCCTACCATTGTAATTTCCTTCATTTAGATCCAAGACCGTAGTCTCAGAATCAACTATATCACTCACTCTCCACGTACAAAAAGAATTTAATCATGGTCACTCTTCCCCAAGGGGCCTCACATAGCTAGGTCACCAGTTATTCCTCTCATCATACAATACCAGTCTAAGATGGCCTATCCTTTATTTGGTTCAACAATTGATTCAGAAAACCATCTCAAACATTCCAGGAGTTCCTCCTCCATAGAACTGTTACTGAATTGATTAGCCCAATCGATATGCAGATTAAAGTCACCCCATAATTACATATATAAGGTCTAGTTTTGTGATAAAAACATTTAAGCAACATGACCTTATATACCCCTTAATTGTTTGTCTGTAATTTGCTACGTATTGCCTTTCCCAACACTGCCACTACTTTTTTGGGGTCCATATACAATCTTATTGTTTTCTGTCCCTTAGTGTTTCCAAACTCAACCCATACAGATTCCACTTCACTGGAGCTAATATCCTTCTTCAGTATTACATTAATTTTATCTTTAACCAGTAGTTCTACCCCAATTCCTTTTCCTCTTCTTCTGTCCTTCCTAAAAACTGAATACCCCTAGTATTCGAATAACTTCTGCTTGACTTGTTGATCTTGCCTAGGAAGAGATGTACATTCCGTGGCTATTCACACCATGGCTCGTGCCATCTTTTGCAGGCTTCTTTCAGCTTATCATATAATAGCTTTGTATTGCAACACAACTCAGAAGTGAATGCCATTTTTGCAAAAATGGCATTCAGCCTCATTGCCAGAACAGTTTCAAGCCTGTGATTTATTTCTGCCAAATCAACAACAGTTATTGGAAAATGATGCTGTTCCTCTTTCTGGCACCCCTAATTTTGTATGGCCACTTTTCTGCTTCTCAGTTTAACATACATCTCTGTATCTGTAACTTTTAGGATGTGGTTTTGTCTGTTACTCCAAAACACCAACTAGATCTGCTTCCTGACTTCACATCACTTCAGTTGAATTGCTTCTGCTGTTATATCATTGTCACCTGCAAATGGTAAGACATGCTTTATCTATTCCTGATTAGTTATTCTTTCAAGCTGCCATACATTACAGTTCTCTGTAGGTCTATACAGACCTTAAATACATCCCCTTTTGCCAGTTGTGCTTTTTAAATTTAGCTCACCAAAACAAAATGTTCTTTTTTCACAGATTGATGTAGGCACTGAGTGCTTTAATTACTTCCTCACGTAAAGCTTATTCCTTGTTGATCACTTGCCTGACTAGGATAACAAGTGCACAAGCAATCATTGCATTCAATAATGTATTGTCCTGCTTAGTATTGCAGTGAAGATGGATTCAGTGCGATACTTTTTCTTTGGCAATAAAATCAGCCAAGCTCTGCTGGATTGGGACGTCATGTTCTCAAGGTATGCTTGTACTTTTACTCACTGCCAAAAGTAATAGCCTTAGTCTTGTTGTGATGGTAAAGAACATTTACAGATTCAGAGGTAAGGAAAACATAATTTTATTTAAAGGAGCATTTTACAATGGTTTCATCTTGCCATGAAATCAGAAAGAATATGACATTGCATTACTTCCTGTGATATACAACATCTCAGCATGTCACAGGCGGGTTCAATTCTTTATACTACAATTCAGAGAATGTAAGATACACAGTTGAAATTCAGTTGTCTCAAACACACAAGTAACCATGAATTGACAATGGTGAAGTACAATAAAACAACCACTTTTGTCACAGTTCCTAATGATATATTCTATACATGTAAACAGCCTGAAGAACAATGGATTAACTGTCAGAAACAATATACTCAGCAGTAGCAGTAAGTGGTGACTTAGTGTTGACGTGACACGAGGAAGATCATTCCTTAGCATTCTAGAAAAAATTAAAGCAGTTTTCCAGGGCATGAGTTGAGGAAACAGACAAATAAATGACTAATTTCTTCTCCAATGTTAGTAGAAATACCCAAATCTAGGCAGGTGGCAGTGAGATGTGGGGCAAATCCATTTATGTTGGCTGCTGTCTTGTGATCAATCACACAATTTCTGCAGAAAGCTACGAAAGTACTCACCCAAGCATGGGGAGTCACACTGGAAAACAGATTATAACATACCCAACAGGGATGTTGGAGGCAACACAGCATATCCATGCCAGCATGATTAATCACACGTTCCCACTTGAGAATGACAGGCACAGTTCCTTCCTGCATCTCCCTCTCATACTCATTTCCATTTCCTCACCCAGATCCCTCCTCCGACACCTTTACTTGAACACCTCACCTACTACCCTCAGCATTTCCACTCCTGTGTTTTCACATTTTCTACCTCCTATTGTTCTCACTTTGTCTCTCATTCCCTCACTCTGACAGATTCTGTCCAAACTAAAACAAATGTGGATCCATTTTCTGCTCCCACAGACCTCTTGGTAAATACTCCCATATATAACTCAGTGAGCCCTGAAGAAAGATACATCTAGGCTGTGAGAAGGGCAGAGTTTCTGAAGGAAAGGACTGAAGATCACTTTGGGCAAACAGTACAGGGGTGATTACTTAATAAGAGAGCCTGTAAGTAGGATGGGTTTCTTTTCTGAAGAGTGGAGACTATAGATGGGGGAAGAAAAAAAGTACAGATTTGAACAGGAGGCAGTGTCTCTGGTAAAATTTGCATCATCCTATCCATCATTCTCAACTCTTTACCACTGACACAGTGATAGCAATGTGCACCACCTACAAGATGTAATGCAGAACTTGTCAAAGCTCCTTTGAAAGCATGTTCCAAACTCTCAACCACTATCAACTTGAAAGACAAGGACAGGTGGTGTATGGGAACACCATGAGTTAAGTTTTTGTCCAGGTCTCATACCGTTCTGATTTGGAATTATATTGCTGTTCCTTCACTGTTGGAGTCAAAATCATGGAACTTCCTCTCCTTTAACTGCAACTGTTTTATTGCTGTAAATCTGTTACTGTAAACCTTCCATTACTTAAACCTTCTCTTTTACTAAGTTCCTTCTGTTACTGGAGCGTTCCCAGTCACTGTGACCCTTATTATTGCAACTTGTTACTGCAGCTAATTTTAACTACTGTAAAACTTCTGTAGCAAAATTCCTTATACCGTTAGTGTCACCTTTGCCTGTTACAGTAAAGCCGCTCATTGATTTCCCATTTGCAATTACTTATTTTCCCCCTAGTACACTGTTACTTCTGGCGTCCCCAGGATCTATCCCTGATGCCCTCCTATTTTGCAGCATCAACTAAAAGGTCATCCAACTCAATCTAACCACTCCATCTCTCAACATTTTAACTGCCTCTATATGTTCATACTGTTTCAATCTAGCACTGGCTAAGTAAACATTTCCTGACCAATTTTGGGAAAACAGAAGTTGTCACAACTCTGTTCCCTAATCACAATCCAGGCTCCAGTCATTTCCCCAGTTACGTCTGAGCTTGAAGCAGACTGTTTGCAACTTAGTATTATTTTACCGACACATGCTTCTGGTGATCCATCTGTTCCACTTCCAAGACCTTGGTAACACTGTCCGACTGCATCTCTGTCTTAGCTCATCCACTGTTGAGATATTTATCCAAGCCTTTATTAGTTCATAACTTGATCAATACAACATGCCAATCTTCTATTGTCTGCGAACTTAGGTTGCCTAAATTCTCCTGTGTACTCATCTACGTTGCTAAATTCACCAATATTAACTCTTGGTCAAGCAAGAACATATGCTAAATGTCTCACCCATGATTTCAAATATATCAAGACCCCTCCCCTTCCTACTTCAGCAACATTCTCCAGCCCCGTATCCCACTGATATATCTGCTCCTGCAATTCTAGTTGATTGATCATTCTTAATTTCTCCCACCATCACAGCCTGTACTTTGAGCTGCTGAGGCCCATAGTTTTGTACAGTCTTAAATTCAGACTAATTTGCTGGGGGAGGAGATATGCTGGAGTTCTGACAATTTGTTGACTATTCACACAGTGCAAACATCATTGATGGTGTAACTGAAGTCCAAACTTTTAAAGGATCTACCGCAAAGGAAAACTCAACTGAGGGGGCATGGTGTTAAAATATTCGTTTTCTAGAACGTAAAGCAAATTATGCAAAGATAATGTAATTATATGTGGCACAGCGATTTACATGGCTGGATGTTTCAGAGTAGCTTAATTTATCTTGGAATCATTTCCTGTATAAGGTTCTCTAATTTCATCACATTGTTGATGAATTGACAGCTCCATGATGATCATTCTTTTAGTGCAGATATGACTGAAAATGGTTTTAATTTTTCAGTGGGCCTGTTTACCAATTTCTATAGGTCAGTGTGGCAGCAACTAGATGGCATGCATAGAACATCTTCATTAAGAGTATGAAGACATTAGAAGCATCTGACTAGAAACAGTAGGTGAAACTGAATCAATTCTAGTTTTTTTTAAAAAAGGGAAGTAGAACTATGTCTGCAAAAGAAAACAAAAAAACAAAAAATGAAATAATTGGGGTTATGGCAGGGAAATGGTAGTAGGTGAATAACTGTTACAGGACTGGCACAGGCATGATTGGCGAAAAGGCCTTCTGAGCAAGGTAAATTAAAGGATTCTGTAAGAAACTGTGGTATCAGCTAATTACCTACCAGTAAGCATGTTTTCCATACCATGGCTCAGTGTGCGTATACCTCATACAGTGTAGCACGCTACATGATACATTTCAAAACCCTGCCTCTATTCTGAAGTAATCTCAAAAGGGGCCAGGAATTCAAGTGTTGCTAAATCATCCCTCTGTGGTAGATATATTAAGCAGTCCATTCAAAGGTGTTATTACCCACCTCTGAAATAAGTGTCAATAAATGTGGACCTGGAAAAGTGCAGCAGGTCAGACTGCATCCGAGGAGTAGGGAAGTCAATGTTTAGGGCTGAAACCTTTTGTCAGGATGGGGGAAGGGGAGGGGAACCCAGAAATAAATAGAGGAAAGGGGATGGGGCTGGGGTGGGGGGGGGGGGGGGGAGAATGCGTAGGTGAGATGGAGATAGGTGGATGCAGGGAGGGGATTAGTGTGGTTGAACAGTTGGGTGGAGTGGATAGGTGGGTCAGAAAATGGACAGGTTGGGGGTGAAGAGGTTTTGAAACTGGTGAAGTCAATATTCAGGCCATTGGTCTGTAAGCTCCTAAAGCAAAATATGGAGGTGTTGTTCCTCCAGTTTGCATTTGGCCAAAATTGGAGAACCTTTTATCTTGGAATCATTTCCTGTATATTAAGCTAATCTGAAACATCCAGACAGTGGAGGAAGCCAAGGATGGACATGTCATCAGGGTAGTGGGAGGGGAAGTTAAAATGGATGGCAACCTGTTGGTCAAGTTGGTTGGTGCATGCAGAGCAGAGATGCTTTGCAAATCGGTCCCAGAGTCTGCGTTTGGTCTCCCTGATATAGAGGGGACAACATCGGGAGCAACGGATACAGTAGATGAGGTTAAATGAAGTGCAGGTGAATCTCTGCCAGATTTGAAAGGATTGTTTTGGGCCTTGGATGGAGGTGAATAGGGAGGTTTAGGGGCAGGTGGAGAATGTGGAGCTGATGAGGGAATCACAGAGTGAATGGTCCCTGCAGAAACTGGACAGGGGTGGGAGGGTAATATCTTTTTCGAGGTGGAGTCCAATTGTAGCTGGCAGAAATGTTGGAGGATGATGCGTTGTATTCGGAGGTTGGTGCGGTACTATGAGAGGACTAAGGGGACTCTAATCTTATTGTTGTTGGGGAGGGGGCAAGGGTTTGAGGGCAGAAGTGCAGGAAACGGAGAGAAGCAGTTGAGGGCATCCTTAATAACAGACAAAGGGAAACTACAGTCCCTGAAGTAGCAGGATATCTAGAAAGTCCTAGAGTAGAATGCCTCACCCTGGGAGCACATGTGGCGAAGGTGGAAGAATTAAGAGTATGGAATAGCATTTTTACAGGACGGTGGGTGAGTGGAGGTGTAATTGAGGTAACTGTAGGAGTCAATGGGTTTGAAATGGATATCAGTGGTGAGTTGGTTACTGGGGGTCCAGGAAAGAGAGAGAGGTGTCAGAAATGGTCCAGGTGAATTTGAGGGCGTGGTGGAAGGTGTTGACAAAGTTGATGAAACAAGTATGACTTGAACCAAGGGCTGATTCCTCCGTGGTAATCTAATACTTAAATCAGTCATGCCTGTGGGAGACTAGGGTGCTCACAGTGGTTGATTAACAACTGATTCACTAATTATAGAACATGCAGGGGATGTGCTTGTGTGGTTTAGTGGTAATATCACTACCTCTGGACAGTGGGACCCTGGTTCAAGTTCCACCTACCCCAGAGGTAGGTAATAACATCTCTAAACAGGTCGATTGGAAAAATATCTAGAATGTGCAAATAATTTGGACTGGATTCTTTCTACAGCTCATGAAAGCCTGGAGGCTAACGTATGAACTGGCAGGATGATACTAACTAGCCAAGCAGTAATCTTCACTGATGGAATTTGTACTTTTAGCTGATGAAACACCAACTTGCCTGCATACAATGGGGTCGATAACGAGTAAACATTTCCAACCTGTGCCTCAGTCCTCTGGTTTGCATTCTTTTGGGAATAAAAAGTGTACACAATCTTAGGCAAATGAGAAACTTTCCTGGGTGTAGACTCGCAACTGTTCATTTGGAAATTCCAGAACATAACAATATTTTTCCGAGTGAAATCTGGCTGACACACCTCTAGTTATCCCTACTGTCTCTTTTATTTATTTTCTGATGATCAGTGTTTGCCGAGTTCTAGAATTTCCAAATTAGCAGAGGTTCTGATTGCCTGATATGGTGTACCCTCTGTCCCCATAAGAATGCAAACCAGAGGACTGAGCTAGATTCCTTAGGTGTCTGTTTCTCAGTGACACTTCCTGAAAATTGAGTTGACATAACGAGAAGACAGAATTAATATCCCAATATTCTCAATTCTACAGAAGATAAGTGCTGTATTTTTCTTGTATTTCACTTTACAGTAGTATATAAAGCTCAAATTGTTAGAATGTTCATCTTAATGAACGTCTAGGGAACACTTTACGTTCAGTCCATGACATTGCTGCGAAAAAAAAGAGACGCTGCTAAGTGTGCGAGTAACTTTGCATTTTAAAATACCATCCAACCTCAGAGCACTGCTATAATAAAGGACGAGGCAGCGTAATTCACAACTACAGAATAGATGAGTCTTAGGGATAATTCTATGAATGATGCGATGGGATGGGAATGAGTTGGTTTCCTAAACACGGATCACTATTAGAAAAATTGCCAGTGCAACAGTGATGCTAGGAAATGTTCTACAACATGCTGAACAAGCAGATTAGCAAATAATTTCAATCTGAATAAATCTGGTCTAGTTTCAAATGTGTTCCTTGATGCAAGAAGCCTAGTAGAAGTAAGTACTTTACTATTTATGGCGATTACTGGTACACGTGTAACAGTATAGAAATTGGAATTTGCTAAGATGTGGCAGAGAGACTGGATTTGTAAAGGAGATGCCAATGGAAAAAGGGCAGGGGTACATACGGACATCTGAATTACTCAGCTTGTTCTGACATGAACAGACCATGTGATGGATTTTCATGGCTCCATTGGTGGGGGGGGGGCAGAAAAACATGTGCAGCAGGATGGAGATAGTTCACTAATGCATCCTGCCATCTGGAACTTCCTCTGGGGCATTCAGCATACTGGACTGGCTGCCCACTCCATTGAGCAGGGACCCAGCTAAGGTGTTCAAGGATCCTATTAAGGGCAATTGTGCAGCCTTGATTTTGCCACTGGGAGGGCAACACTGGTGCCGAGTACACAAACTTCTAGCTTAATATTGAATATTCCCTGAGCTGCTTCAGCGTGCCCACCTGTTCCAGTGACGCTGCTCAGACTCCAGAACTTTTGCCCTTCTGATTGCCTGAGACATCAAGATTCCATCCGCTGTCCTTATGAGAGAGAATGCAGAGGCAGTCAATTTGGATGACTAACTGCCTCTGGAAGATTGTGCCTTTGCGTGCACTGCTGGCCGGAGCAGAATCGGGACCACGATTTCACCCTGATATCAGGGTTCCAAAGTATTCCGGAAAAGCCCTGTTTTTGAAAGCTTCAATTAAGAGGCTAAGCAGGATTCCACATCCTTCATTAGCAATTATGGAATGACAGAGATGGCAGCCAGTCAGAAAATTGCAGGCAGTTCACTGGTGGGTTTTCAGTGAGCTGTTAACCTGAGGCACAGAATTTGTGAACTTTCCAATGTTGTCTCAAATGGGAAAAATAAAATTGGAAGACCAAAAATATTAGTGGGAGGGAAGACTTTTGTAGAAGAGAGGCTGATTGTTCAGTTATATAGGAACAAGAGTAGGTCATCCAGCCTATTGAGCCTGTAACACAATTCTAGATCATAGCTGATCATCTCATCTTTCCACACCATGTCCATCTCCCTTAATATCATTGGTCTCCAGAAACACTTCAATTAAGATTCGGCAGTTCTCTGGGTTAGAGAATGCCAAAGATTCTCACAGTGAAGAAATTCCTCCTTATCTCAGTTTACAATGGCCCACCCCCTATCCGGAGATCATGTCCCCTGGTTCTGGTTTCACCAGCCAGAGGAAACATCCCATTTATATCCACCACGATATGCCCTGTAAGAATTTTTGTTTGAATGAGATCACCTCTCCCTCTTAGAAACTACAGAGATTAGAGGCACAGTTGCCTCATGGTTTATCATTTCAAAAACAGGCTCGATTATTCATCGCACCATTATTCTTACTTTTAATTATCTACCAAAACAGCTTGGTGGGACAAGAATGTCAATGAGAATGCCACAACATCTGTAACTCACCTCTATCTGCCTTTCAGAAGGTCGTGGTGAGTTGCCTTTTTGATGTGCTGTAGGTTCACTCACAATATCATTAGGAAAAAAGTGTTCCAGAATTTAGGGATCTAGCAACAGTGCAAGTGTGGTGATATTGTTCCATGTTAGGAAGGTGTGTGGCCTGGAGGGCGATTTTTAGGTAGAGGCATTCCCACACATCTGCTATCGTTGTTCTTTCACATGATTTAATCGCAGTGCTTAAAGAAATGAAGGTTTGATTGAATGAAAGCGATGTTTTGTTGGAACACCACCTAGGTGGAGCAAGAACAGGTATAAAAACTCCACCTGACAGTGCTATGTCTCTACCAAATGTCAGATGCAGCTGCCTTCTAACCTGAAGGGTAATCTATTGAGCCAGCCCATGGACATTCAGTGAACTGGGGAGAAAGTCCTCAGAGCTGTCAGTGTTCTCCACCCCATATCTTTATTCAGCCCAGAGCCACTCTTCTTCCCTTACCAACCACAAGAAGCTTGTGGCTGAACTGTTCAAAGACTGGTGCTACATTCATGACCATTGCCTCTGCTCCCCGTCTTTAACCCTACTGTCAGATTTAGTCCCTGGCTCCCAGGGACATATGGTACTTAGGCCACCTGCACACATGCAGGCAGCATGTCATTAGTACTCCTGGAAAGTAATGATGTCAACAATACATGTGCAAACTCATTCTGCTATTAAGGACACCTCTCTCCAGTAATTAATGCCACCAAGCCCATGTGCACATGCACAGGTGGCCATTTTGGTTGCCAGCATATATTTGGACCAATTATTCTGTTAATGAACAAAGATTTAACTGATCAAGAATAGATGGCTAGAGAATTAATTAAGAAAAATTAACTAAAAGGATGTCAGATGGAAGTTTATTGTTGGGAGACTAATGGACAAAGTTTAATTGATGGTTTAAAAGGATGGCAACTTTATTGAAGAATGCTTAAATGGGCAAAAATTTCAAGGGTGGATGTTTAATTCATGAGGATGCATGAATAAATTAATTTTGTCATTGCCACATTTGAAGTAAATTTTATATCAGGAAAATTGGAAGAATTTACAAAATTAAAAAACTATAATAATTAATACAGAGTAATTTCTCATCATTCTATTAATAAAGCACCAATATACTTACTGCACTTACTGTATTTTAAAGACAAGATAAATGATATCCCTAGAATAAACACATAAATCACGACTGTAGCTGCAACAGTTCCCAAAATATGATTCACAGGAATTTGGCATTCTGTAACTGTAGGTAGAGAATGAATATTATTTATAAAATTATTGAAGAAATCTTTAATGCTTAAATTTTAAACTGTATATAACTATTCATATAAAATTAAATATATTTGAGAACTGATACATTTCCTTTCAATGTGTTTCATTATGCGCTAGTTGGTCAATACAATAAATTGGCATGTAACTTGCAAGATACATGGCACACCATGTTACTTTGATCGATAACAGAAATTGTTACAGATGTGTCCTTTATAAAGGTTCAAAACTAAACTCTGAAATAAAAACCCTGATTGAAATATGCAGATTATATTTGAAACATCAAAATATGCCACATAGAATCATAGAATCCCTACAGTGTGGAAACAGGCCCTTTGGCCCAACAAGTGCACACCGACCCTTGGAACATCGCACCCAGACCCATCCCCCATAACCCATCTAATCTACAGACCCCTGAACACTACGGGCAATTTAGCTTAGCCAATCCACCTAACCTGCACATCTTTGGACTGTGGGAGGAAACCCACGCAGACACGGGGAGAATGTGCAAACTCCACACAGACAGTCGCCCGAGGGTGCAATTGAACCCGGGTCCCTGGCACTGTGAGGCAGCAGTGCTAACCCATAGCAATTGTCTTGGTTCCCCAAGACTATGTGCCGAGTTATGTGAATTATCTCCCATTGCTGCACCCACAGTATACATAAAGCAGAGAAATCAAATAGGAGGAATGCTGACTTTTAACAGGACTGCTGTATGCTAGCAATCATTTAGCATCTACCCCAACTGTGATTCTTCCTGGAAACCTGTAAAATTCTACTCAAATGAAATGCATAAAAGGGAGCTGGTGGGGAGAGGGTACAAAACATTCACGGGAAGCAGCATGCCAGGAGGTGAACCAGAATGACTGTAGATCCTACACAAATCAGATGAGAGACTGAGTTCTCATTATAAATAGGTGGAACTTTCACTGCTCTGAGTAAAAGGTTTACCTTGAGGTGTGCAGTACAAAACCATTTAGAACTCTCAGTACATAGGAATCAACCTCAAATGTTGTTGCTATTCATAGTATCAACAATACTCACTGTTTTTTTGGCCTCTATGAATTGGTACAACTGAAATGATCATTGAGAAGATTCCATACACCCAAAAAACAAGACGATAATCTGTGAATAAAATTTAAAAATACCACTCTGATATGGAGATTGGTGCTTCAATTTAGCTCTGGGACAAACCATAATTCTTAAAGATTTTACAGCTCACTTTCTCCATCTGGCAATGAATTTGCATTGGTGCTCAAGAGAAGGAATAAAACATTAGTGAGCATCAACTGGCTACCTGGAAAACAGTTCCTTTTGTTGGGTTCCCAGGTTGAGGTATTTAACGATCACCAACCATTTCCCAACCTTACAGTAAATCACTGTCTGGAGTTCATCATAGAATCCCTACAGTGTGGAAACAGGCCCTTCGGCCCAACAAGTCCACACTGACCCTTAGAGTTGTCGATGAGAAACTGTGTTTGGCATCAAATAAAAAACCCAGCTACTTGGAGGACTATAGTAACAGTGGTCCCATTGGAATCACTAGAGAATGCCAAGTTAAGGTGGAAGATTTCCTACTTTGTCAATCTGCCATATATTAACACACATTAATAATCCCTGTGACTCAAGTCAGCCAAAGTACAAGATGAAGCCAAAAGGTACAGTGAAACAAGAGTTAAATACGACTGGGGAGATTAAAGTTTTAAAGAAGACCTGTAGTTTGGGTTGCGGTTGGAGTTGTTGGTTAGTTTGCCAAGCTGACTGGTTTTCATGCAAATGTTTCATTTCCTTTCTAGGCAACATCGTAAATATTGTGTAGCCTCCATTGAAGCGCTGTTGTTCTGTCCCACTCCGAATTTATGTGGTCCAGTCTATCATGGTGGGCAGTCTTGTTTCCAGTTTTGTACCTTAATGGTATGTAGATAGGGTCTATTTCAACATGTTTGTTAATTGCATCGCTGGTTGAAAACCAGGTCTCCAGGAATTCTCGTACTTGTCTTTGTCCTGCTTGTCCTAGTACTGTAACTTTGTCCCAGGCAAATTGATGTCCTTCTATGTTGGAGTACATTGAAACGAAGGAGAATTGGTTGTGCCGTTTCGTTGCAAGTTGGTGTTATGTATCCTTGTGGTGAGTTTCCTGCCCATCTATCCTATGTAGTGTTTCTCGCAGTTGCTGCATGGTATCTTATATATCACATTTGTCCTGTTCATTGTGGGCATGGGGTCTTTTGTCTTTGAGTGTAACTGGAAAATTGTGCCTGTTGATTTGTGTGCTATCCTTATTCCAAGAGGTCGTAGGAGTCTTGCAGTCAGTTCTGATGTGTTTCTAACTTAGGTACGGCAGCCAGTTTGTTCTTGGTGTTGTTTGTTTGCCAGGCATTGGCAGATGAAGTTGTTAGGATAACCATTGTTTGCAAGGACTCTGTGTAGATGTTCCTCTTCGTTTTTTCACAGTTCCAAGGTGTTGCAGTGAGTTATCATTCATTTAAACACAGTCTTGACACAGCTCTGTTTGTGGACGCTGGACTGGTTACTGTTGTAATTCAGGATTTGGTGGGTGTGTGTAGTCTTTCTGTATATGTTGGTAAAGAATTCCCTGTGTTCCCTCAATTCTGAAGGTCTGGTTTTCAACCACTGATGCAATTAACAAACGTTGAAATAGACTCCAACTACATACTATTATGGCACAACACCAGAAAAAAGACTGCCCACCATGACAGACTGGACCATATACATTCAGAACGGGACAGAACAACAGCACTTCAATGGAGGCTACACAGCACCAACAATGCCACTTAGAAGGGAGATGAAACATTTGCATGAAAACCAGTCAGCTTGGTAAACCAACCAACTCCAACTACTGGGGAGAATTTCAGGAAAATTTGGCAACTAACGCTAGAGTGAATAAATTTTTCTGAATCCTGCCAGAAAGATAAGGGTAAGAGTTGAGACTCATATACATATATCTTTGGGGTACTCGCCCATATAGTGTATGATAGGTGGCCGTAAATAGTGAGGTTCAGTGCCTCTGTGGCACCAAAGAGATATTTCAGACTAGAGCATCTACAGAAACATCTATAAAAATGCAAGGAAATTTCCAGGCCAATAAGTGCATCCAACATAAATACATTTATTCATGGCATGGAAGATTAATTGGAAAGATCCATGACATCAGGATTAGGATTTATTTAGAGAGTGGTTCAAGGGGCTTGGAGGATATCAGGGACAAAACTTCAGAGATTTCAGTGGATTCCATCATCTCCCTTGCCTTATGCTTCTTGAGACTGAACCAGAAGAAACATCATTTTCATAAACACAAAAAAATTGCTGGAGATACTCTGGAGGGCTGGCAGCAGCTGTGCAGAGAAAGCACAGTTAATGTTTTGGGTCCAGTGACTTTTCTTCAAAACTTGAGTTCACTGTTTCTGTCTCCACAGATGCTGCCAGACCTGCTGAGTTTTTCCAGCAATTTCGATTTGTGTTTCAGATTTCTAGCATCTGCAGTTCCTTGACTTTTTTGTTTAACGTCACGTTTGCGTCCGCTTTGTCAAGACCAACCAGGATCCGATACACTTCAATCAAATCACCCTTCAATCTTCTACATTCTAGCGGAAACAAAGCCAACCTGTCCAACTTAATCTCCTAAGAGAACCCATTCATTTGAAGTAAATTTCTTCTGAACTGTCTCCAATGCATTTACATTTGTCCTTGAACTTTACAAGCTAGTTTAATGAGCCAGTGCAGGAATGATGGGTTAAATGGCCTCCTTCTGAGCTGTTGCACTTTTGTGACCCTGTAAATGAGGAGATCAAAACTGCAGATGGTACTTGAGATGTGGTACAAAACTTCCCTATTTTTACATTCAATTCTTTTTTCAATAAAGGATAGGATCTCAATAGCATTCTTGATTGTGTGCTGTACCTGTGTACAAACTTTTTATGACTGATGGAGGGGGCACATTGGCTCAGTAGTTAGTACTCCCAGCACCAGGGACCAGAGTTCAATTCCACCCTTGGGCAACTATCTGTGCGGAGTTTGCACATTCTCCACGTGTCTGTATGGGTTTTCTCTGGTTGTCTCCCACAGTCCAAAGATGTGCAGGTTAGGTGGATTGGTCATGCTAAATTGTCAATTGTGTCCAGGGCAGTGCAGGCTAGGTGACTTAGCCAAGGCAAATGCAGGGTCGCAGGGATAGGGTGGGAGGAGGGGTCAGTCTGGGTACAATGCTTTTTATAGGGTTGGTGTGGTCTTAATGGGCCAAATGGCCTGCTTCCACGCTGTACAGATTCTATGTACTAGAACAGCTGAATCCTGCTGCACTTCACAATTATGCAAACCATCTGTATGTAATACTCTGCCTTTTCCAAACTTCCTGCCAAAGTCATCAACTTCACATTGGCCCACATGATAAGCTTTCAGATTTTTGTCCATCTGTCTGTCTGCAATCTGGTCTTCTTCACAACATACTTTCCCATATCTCTTCAAGTTTTCTCACTGTATCTTAAACACGCTACATTAATTGCCTTTTCAGACCTCGCAGCGAGCATCACACTTGATTTGCAAAGTGAGGCTGAGGCTACAACACTGCAATGTTAACTCCTTGTCTGTTTCACTGCTATGGTAACAGCAGGACACTTTTCTAAAAGTTTCTTTTATATCTAGTTATGGATTCCAAGCACAAGGCCACTTCATTCTCTTTGCCCTATATTCCAGTCTTGTCAATTACTACTGCACACCCACAATCAACTTCAGTATGGCCGATGCCTCCAGCTGTATGTGTGTCATGGAACCAATGCCTGGCATAATTGAATCAGTTTTCAGTCTTTCAGATCATATGCTGTTTTCATCAGTAGACAGTAAGGAAAAAATATTGAATCTCCATACAATAATCAGATAGCCATCTAATCAGCTAGCATCTCTCTGGATGTTAGGACTGCTGGATACCTCAAACATATGTTTGCTGTCATGGGATTTGGAGGACACCAACAATAGGAGACAGAATAGTTTCCCATAGCTAGCCATTCCCCGTGAGGCATTTGGTTCTGGCTTTCAAAATTCTTTTGCCTATCTGGCCAATTCCCCCAACAACCAAATGTTGCCCACATGTAGGCCAAAGGGTTATGATAATTTAGCTAAAACACACTCTAGAAGCATGAACAGGTCATTGACCTGCTTGTAAAACTGCACCCATGTTTATGGCAGCTGTGGGCTTGCAAATCTCTGGGGCAATCACACCTCAGTGGTAAATTTGAAGGCTCTTAGGTTCCTTGGGAAGAGCACCTCCTGTCATTATCATTCAGCAGAGGGAGCATATATAATGGGTGTTCTTCAGAGGTCAGCACAGATGATAAAGCTCTTCAGGAGCTCCTGTGGTGATCCTGAAAGCTCATTCACTCCGCAGCAAGGTCAGTATACTATTTAAAACTAAAGCAGCATCTGCATTAACATCAGCTAATGCAATGATTGGCATTTTCCTTCACAATTAAGTGCTCACTTTTGTTAATTGTCAGTCTATTACGTAACCACACGTGACTGGCATACCACTGGAACTGAGATCACGGATTAAATTCTGCTTGATGTATAGCATGTTTTAGAAAGGGGACATTTGCAGAACACAGGCAGCGTCAGGAGTCCATTCACAAGTCGATTTGTAAGAAAGTTAGAACACAGTGCAGGTCAATGTAAAGCAGCTGTTCGTAAGAGCAGGCGATATCCTTGCATTGAGACTTTAAAATTACAACTCTCTATGGGATTGCGTTCATAAATACGAGCGAGCATAAGTCAGACATGTGTAACTCAAGGACTCCTGTAGCATGTTGTTAGGCTTAGAATAAAAACATGAATACATAATTGGTTGTGGATGTTTACTTCAGTAAGTTAAAGCTGATCTTGTCTATGTGCATTGGATGTAAAAACTAGCATGCAAAAATGGTAATCAAACAATGGATATCTTTAAAAGAGATGATGTCTTGGGTATAGAAATATAAATGAAGGGCCTACAAATCTAGATTGCCCTAGATAACTAAAAATAAAGACTATTATGAGACAGAAAAATGAAGTTTACTGCAAATATTTAGCAGTCTCCAGAGTTTGTTTTTAAGAATTCTCTGAAAGTCTGAAGCATGTGAAGTGATTTCATGGAGACATATAAAAAATTCTTTGAGAACTTGTGGAGAGTCTAGAATCAAAAGTCATTGTCTCAGGAAAAGAGGTTGGTCACTTACATCTGAGATGAAGAATTTTTTTTTCATTCAGAGTTGTGAAGCTTAAGAATTCTCTAATAAAAACCAAAAGAACTGCGGATGCTGTAAATCAGGAACAAAAACAACGTTGCTGGAAAAGTTCAGCAGGTCTGGCAGCATTTGTGGAGGAGAAAACAGAGTTAACGTTCTGGGTCCGATGTTCTGAGGAAGGGTCACCGGACCCGAAACATTAACTCGGTTTTCTCCGCCACAGATGCTGCCAGACCTGCTGAGCTTTTCCAGCAACTTTGTTTTTGTGTTGTTAAGAATTCTCTATCCCAGATGCTGTGTCATTGAATATAATCAAGGCTGAGATCTATAGACTTGAGTCCTAAGGGAATCACACAATGGGGCTTAGGATTCCAGCCCTGAAAGCCACGACTCTATTCTACATGCTTTGGTCATTATTTGGACTGATGCCTTCCCTCACAGAGCTGTTGCATATAGTGGACACTTGGAAATGCAACAGTACTATATGAGTGACCGAGAGCAGACCTGGAGTTCAGTTGAGTGGGTTTGGGAATCATGGGGTCAATCAAGTAGGCAAGGTTGTGGTGGATTGGATTAGTCAGGAGGGCAAACAGATCGAGGCACATATCTTGAGGTCATGCGTGCGTGTGGGTGGATGGTAGGGGTGGACAAAGAGGGACATCCTCTGCTGAACCTGCATGGGACCTCCTACTGAGCAGCCTCTCCAGGCAAGAAAACTCCACCCACCCATCCTCACAGGTAAACTAGCAGTAGCAGGGTGAAGAGAAGCACTTATGTGATTAGTAATTAACCAGTTAAGGAGCTCAGTTAGCCTAAGGGAGGGTAAAATATATGTAGGGAGGCAGGAATGCAACAAGAATGGCACCAGTCTGCCAACACATCTGATTTTATGTCTGTCCCCCTGCCGACTCCAAACCACACCCAGGGTTGATCAAAGTAGATGGTCATAAAACATCAGCACAGAAGTCTTAAGGAGCACATTGAAAAGGGAGGGTTGTGGTCTGGTCTGCAGACAATGTTCTGAAGGCATTTCCATTCAGGGCTGGCCTGTTTCTGGATCAGGCTAACTCATTTAGCTTCAATGGCTTCTTGCTGATCTATTTTTTTTTAAAAATAGAATCCCTAGTGTGAAAACAGGCCCTTCAGCCCAACAAGTCCATACCAACCCTCAGAGCATCCCACCCAGACCCATCCGCCTATAACCTACCTAATCTGCACATCCCAGAACACTACAGGCAATTGAGCATGGCCAATCCACCTAACCTGCACATCTTTGGACTGTGGGAGGAAACCGGAGCACCCAAAGGAAACCCACGCAAATGCGGGGAGAATGTACAAACTACACACAGACAATCACCTGAGGGTGGAATCGAACCAGAGTCTCTGGCGCTGTGGGGCAGCAGTGCTAACCACTGAGCCACCATTACACCACCCATTTTGGTGGTCATCTGTAAACTTATTAACCATATCTCCTATATGGTTATGACAAGATGCAGGGGGACCCAGCACCAATCCTTGTGGCACATCGCTAGTCACAGGCCTCCAATCCGAAAAGCAACCCTCTACCAGCCACCCTCTGCCTCCGACCTTCAAGCCAATTTTGTATCCAATTGGCTAGCTTCCCCTAGATCCCATGTGATCTGACTTTCCTAACCAGTCTACCATGCAGAACCTTGAACACTTTGCTTGACGTCCATATAGACAATGTCTACCGCTCTGCCTTCATCAATCTTCTTTGTCACCTCTTCAAAAAGCTCCACTTAGTAATTCATGATTTCCCACACACAAAGCCATGTTGACTATCCCTAATCAGTCCTTACCTTTCCAAATGCATGTAAATCCTGTCCCTCAGGATCTCCTCCAACAACTTAGCCATCACTGACAAAGTACACTGGTCTGTAGTTCCCCTGGCTTTCCCCCCACAGTTTTCTTAAACAGTGGCACCACACTAGCCTACCTCCAGTCTTTCAACACTACATCCATGCTTGTTGATGATAAAAATATCTCAGCAATCTCTTCCCCAGCCTCCCACAAAGCTCCAAGAAACACCCGGTAAAGTCCTGGGGATCTATCCACCTTTATGCGTTTTAAGACCTCCATGGAAATAGACCTTTCAGTCCAACTTGTCTGTGCTGACCAGATATCCTAAACTGATCTAGTCCAATTTGCCAGTATTTGGCTCATATCCCTCTACACCCTTCCTATTCGTAAACCCATTCAAATGCCTTATAAATGTTGTAATTCAACCCATCTCCGCCTCCTCTGGCAGCTCTTCTGTAAAATGAATCCTTTTCAAGACATCACTATTTATTTCCCCAACCTCCCTAGCTTCCATGTCCGTCTCCACAGTAAATACTGACGTGAAATATTCATATATGTCACCCATCTCCTGTGGTTCTATATATCAACAGCCTTGTTGATCTTTAAGGGGACCCTATTTGCTCCCTAGTTACTCTTTTGCCCTTAAAGTACTTATAGAATCTCTGTGGATTCTCCTTAAGTTTGTTTGCCAAAGCTATCGCATGTTCCCTTTTTACTGTCCTGATTTCCCTCTTAAGTATACTGCCTTTATACTCCTTGAGGGATTCATATACGCAATATATGCCTCCTCCTTTCTCTTGTTCAGAGCCTCAACTTCTCTAGTCATCTAGCATTCCCTAGATCTACCAGCCTTGCCCATCACCTTAGCAGGAACGTACTGTCTCTGAACTCTCATTATCTCGTTTTTAAAGGCCTCCCTCTTTCCAACCACTCCTTTACTTGCAATAGCCTCCCATAATCAATTTTTGGAAGCTCCTGTCTAATACTTCTAAATTGATCTCACTCCAATTTAGAACTTCAACATTTTTTGATCAGTTCTATCCTTTTCCCGAACTATTTTAAAACTAATAGAATTATGATCACTGGCTCCAAAGTGCTCGCCCATTGACAGATTAGTCACCTGCCCTGCCTTATTTCCCAACAAAAATACAAGTATTTCTCCTTCTCTAGTAGCTACATCCACATATTCAATAAGAAAGTTCTCATACACACAAATTCCTACCCCATTCAAGTCCTCAAAAGTATGATAGTTCCAGTCTATGTTTGCAAAGTTAAAATCCCCTACCGTTACAACCCTATTATTCTTGCAGATATTTGCGATCTCTTTACATATTTGCTTCTCAAATTCCCACTAATTTTGGGGGGCATAGAAGATGATCATCCCTTTTTGTATTTCTCATTCCACCCACACAACTTCACTGGACGATCTCCCAGGAATATTCTCTTTAAGTACAACCATAATGTTATCCCTAACCAAAAAACACCAACCCCCCTCCTCTCTTGCCACACCCCTCCCCTTTCTATTCTTCCTGGAGCATCCATACCCTAGAACATTAAGCTGCCAGTTCTGTCCATCCCTGAGCCATGTTTCCGAAATAGCTTTGATATTCCAGTCCATGTTCCCAACCATGCCCTAAGTTCATCGTCCCACATCCCAGCTCCCAACAGTATCCAAAACAGCATACCTGTATGATATGGGGATAGCCACAGGAGACTCTTGCACATATCTGGCTACCTCTCTTACCATTCATAGCAGTCAACCGTTCACCTGACTATTTCTGTGGTTTTTCTACCTTCCTGAAATTGCCATCCATCACACCTCCTTGCTCTTGTAACTCCTCGTTGTCTCTAACTGCCGCACCACCCAATCTATGCAGTCTGATAGGATCTGCAACCAAACAATTCCTGCAGACATAGTCTCCAGGAACATTCAAATTATCCCTGATCCCCCACATCTGACAGAAGAAAAAAAAGAGTACATCACCCTACCAAAAGCCACGTCTGCTCCTTTAAACAATCTATAGACTCAGAAGTTACTTAAAAACATACAAACACCACACTTTGCTCAAAAGCTGGGTATTAGCAATCTTGCTGCTCAAAAAAACTGCTCTGGGATAACAATACCAATCTGTAATATTAAGGTCAATCAAGAGACAGATCACAATATAAACATTAAAAAATGCCCTCACCTTACTCACTACTACAGATTTACAAAAAAGGTCAAGATTTAGAAGTTTTACAAGTCTTAAAATCAAACACTTAACTGATCAGACTCAAAAACCAAAAGGTCATCCTCTTCTCCCATATTTTTCATTCCAATGTAAAAAAATGTTTATTAGGAATTTTCTATTCCAACATTTAACTTTTCAGTAGAATTAAACTTCAGGACAGATTAAGTCATACAGCTGACTAGCTGAAACCTTTATAGGACAGACATTATGAAACTAATCTCTATTTAAGAATGCCAATAGGGTGGATGAATGGTCTATCCCAAATTCTGGTCTCGTTGGAACTCAGGACGAGGATACTCAGGTATAAGTTGAGTTGGAGAGGAAAAAAAAAAAAAAAATCAGAAAATACTACAGTAGAATTATTGCAAAAACTTACTTCTCTTTGTCAAAAATGAACTTTTCAATTGAATTTCAGCTCGCACGTATAAAGCTATCATGTAAATGATTGCTGCAGAAGCGAAGACAAGTCCAAAGCCTTCAATAAGTCTGTACGCTACAGGGTATGCTGGAAAAGGACAAATAAAGAACATGTAAAATTAAGAGTATACTGATTAGAGAGTATAACATCATTTAATTGACTTGTTAGATAAAAATTTAACTTTCAACATTATCAGCCTTTTGACCGATTCTGAGTTTGAAATCTGTGGCTGGGGACTGATCAAAGAATCTAGGGTGATACTTCAGTCTGGTGCACCCTGCACTGTTGATTTTCAAATGAAGTTCTAAACTGGGTCCTGCCTCTTAATTAAAAGTAAAGGATCCAATAAATTGGATAATGTGTTTGATTAAATGACAATAGTCACTAAAGTACAAAAGTATCTCCAAAATGCTATGGCACAGCTGTAGGATGTGAAAGATGTTTAAAAACTGCGAATGCTTTCTTTGTCAGAATGCTATTATAAAAATTCAGTTACAAACATGACACAGGAGAACACTTGCAGCTACCTGCTGCTAGTATCAAGGTCAACATGATATTTGAATAGCAATCAATGTACACTTCTACAATTCGTTGACAAATACATTAAGTGGAATTGTACTGATCCAGTAGCTGCCCTCCATTAGCCTGAAAATCTCAGCAGCACACATGAACACCTGGCAGGAGGCTTCTATAAACTTTATGGGCGACTGCCAATTAAACAGTTGTTATTGGGTTCCTATCCAATCAAGATCCCCAATAAGACTGAAGCCCAGCTGCATTGAGCAGGTACATCATATAAAAATTAAAAAGCAATGCAAGTGATGGAAAGGATGCCCTTCTAAAACTCAGAGGCCATATGGGCTGCTCTTCCTGCAGGACCCCCACAAACAATCCCCCGAGCTCCACTACAAATCCAACAGTTAATTGGATGATGCATCCGCACACCCGGTTTCCTGTAAATTCTTCATTCCATTTGTCCAGTTTTTCATTCTCCATTGCATCTGCTCCAACAATGCCACCTTCTGCAGGGGGGGCATCTGAAATATCCACATTCTTCCTGAACTGAGGATTCTCCATCACTGGGGTTGACAGTGCCCTCAGCCATGTCTGACTCATTTTCCGCACTTCTGTCCTCATCCCTTCTCTTTCCTCCCATAACACCGACAGGGCCTCGCTGGTGCTCACTTTCCTTCCCACCAGCATCCACATCTAAAGGATCAAAGACTGCTACTTCCACTCCCTCCAGTGGGATACCATCAGATGCATATTCCCTTCCCTTTCTTTATTAGTATTCCACAGAGACCGTTCCCTCCAGTACACCTGGTCTACTCCTCCTCTACTCCCAACACCTCAGATCCTGCACAGACCAGCAAGCAGGAGTACTTGCAGGCATCTTTAACCTCTCCTTACTATAATGAGAGGTTCTCAGCTGCTTCAAGAGGACCAGTATCATCCCAATGCCAAAGAAAAATCAGGAAATATACCTTAATGACTACCACCCAGTGGCTCTGACATCCATCATTATGAAGTCCTTTGACAGGTTAGTAATGGTACACATCAATTCCAACCTCTCAGATTGCCCTGATTCACTACATTTCGCCTATCATCACAACTAGATCCACAGTACATGCTGTCTCCCTCGCCCTGCACTGATCAGACTCCTATTTATTGACTTTAGCTCTGCCTTCAACACCATGGTTTCAATAAAACATCTCCAAAGTCTGAGATCTAGGACACTGTTCCACAATAATCTTCAATGCCAGTGCCACACAAGGCTGGGTACTAAGGCCCTTACTATACTCCTTATACACTCACGACTCTTGTGGACAAATTCAGCTTTAACTCCATTTATAAATTTCTTGATGACACTACTGAAGTGGGTTGGATCTCAAACAAGACAGAGAGCTTAGTGGCGGGGTATAAAGACAACAACCTCTCCCCCAGTGTCAGCAAAACAAAGGTAATCAACTTCAGGAAGTGGAGGACATGCCCCTGTCTGTGTCAATGGTGCTGAGGCGGAGGCAGTCGACAGCTTCAAGTTCACTGGACGATCTCCCAGGAATATTCTCTTTAAGTACAACCACAATGTTATCCCTAACCATAATCAAAGATCGGTTATACACTATTCAACCCCCTTCCATCAGGCAGAAGATAGAAAGTTTGAAAACATGTACAGGTCTTTCCCACTGTTATCAGACTTATGAATGTATTAGAGTTGATCTCTCTCTGTATCTTCTCTATAGCTGTAACACCATATTCTGTTCTACCACCCTGATGTATTTATGTAAGTTATGATTTGTCTGGTCAGCATGCAAAACAATACTTTTCACCATATCTCAGTACATGTGACAATAATAAATCTAACCAAATCAAATCCCCACAACACCTTCCCATGCAATCATAGAAAGTGTAACACTTATCCATTTACTTTCTCCTTCTTCACTATCCAAGGGTTCAGGTGGAGCAGTGATTTACCTGCACTTCACTATCTAGTTTACTGTATTTGGTATTCACAGAATGGACTCCTCTGTATTGGGTAGATGAAACACAGGCTGGGGAACGGATTAGCGGAAAACCTACATCCTGTCTGCAGAAATGACCGAGTTTCACTTTGTCTGCCACTTCAACATATCACTGTGTTCCTGGTGTACATTTCTGTCTTCAGTCTGCTGCAATGCTCTGACGAGGCTCAATGCAAGCTGGAAGAACAGCATCCCATTTTCACTTGGGGACTTTGCAGCCTTCAGGAGTTAATATCGAGTTCAATAATTTTAGAGCCTGAAAAGCTTCTTCCGCACCTTTTGCCCACTTCACACCCTGGCCTTTTCGTCACTGTCAACCCATTTTCACCTACTAATGGTCCCTATTGCTGGCATTTTTCTGTTTCCTGATTCACCACTATCCATCACTTTGTCTGCCCATCTACTGTTCTCCCTCTCTGGGTTCCAGTTCCAACCTCCACACCTGTCTTCAGCATATATACCCTACCTTTCCCTAGCTACCATCAGCTTGGAAGTAAAGGTCACTGGGCCTGAAATGTCACCTCTGCTTTCTTTCCACACCTGAGATTCTCCAGCAACTTCTGTTTTTGTTTCAGAATCACTCCTGAATTGTTGCTTTGCATCAGTCTTTACTTCACCGGCTGCCTCCCACATGGCAGGGTACTGATCCACCACAGGAAAAATGCCACTATCCTGGTAAAATGGTACTTCATAAGGCCATTGGGGATGACTCTTGACTTCCTGTTCCTGATATCGGTAAACTTCTGTGATTGCAGGACTTGATAAGGGAGATGATCCACCATAGCTATTATGCGATATATTGCTTATGGTTCCAAAGACAAGGTTGCTTGGCGTGGTGGACACCATTCAACTTAACTGTTGCATCTTCTATATACTTCTGATCAGGCTTCAGCATAATCAAAGGGTGTATTTTTCCATTTGCAGTGAAGGCTGTGCCAGATTAGCTAACTCATTAAATGTGGCCAACTACTGAAGTGCTAGATCCTGTCATTCTAATAACTGAAACACAAACTTCATCTCATCCGAAATAACACTATTATTCACTTAAGGGCAATTTTATGATTCAATAGGAAAACAAAATAGAGGAAGCCTGCAGACACAGTTGCTTGACATGCCATGGAAATTCAAACATCTTGAATCACAGCACAATCCAAGGTAGTGGAGCGAATAACAAGATCATTGTAATTTGATCTGTCAGCCTCATTCGTAGGCCACTGGCAAGCTACAAGCACACCCGAAGTCATATGCAGCTTGCTAGGCCTGAAATGCACCTAGATCATGAAGTCTACTAAAGCCTGGGAATGGAGGTCAGGAGTAACGCAAGCAATGAAAACATTGATGGTTTACAGCAGTCATTTAGTTGCATCTTGAGCCAACATGATTATGTCTGCTATAGATGCATTCTCATCCTTGAACAGTCTGAATTCAAGGTCTAGTGCAGACAGTAACCAGGATACGTAACGCACTTTGGCATGTCATGGAGACTTGGTAGGTGCTGCAAAGCTGTAAATTTTGTTTTCTCCTTTTATAACTGCTGGGACAGCAAGAGGTTGTGTTGGAGGGACCATGGTCTTTTCCAGCTTTCAGGTTTTCCATGTTTATTTCTGATTAGCAATACAGAAATATGGCTGATGTGTGAACTTAAATACAAACACAACACTTACCTGAATTACACATACACATCAGGGCTGCAGTCAATAGAAAGGCAAAGGCGAGAATTTGGAAGAATATAAAAAGAGCAGTGAGGTTCAAATGTTGCTTGTGACCTAGAAATACAAACAAATAGATGGAATGCTCACTCCACAAAATATCAATAAAAGTTAAACAGTTTGAGAATCTAAGTACTCAAACTTGCGGTGTAACAGAATGTGTAGAAATGTGATTGTTACCTTTGTAATTCTTCACAGCAAAGCAGATTATGAAAGCACCTACTGCAAAAGATGTTGTTGTGCTAACCAGAGCCATGACAGAAGACATGAAAGAGAATTCATGGAGTAACAGCATTCCTGAAACAGGAATATAACAGCAATCTACATGGTTATGATCAAAAAAAAGCACAAATCATAGAAGTAAAAATCACCACACAACGTAACATGGAGCTGTCACACACAACCTGAGATTACCCATTGCATCTTGCGCTTTAAAATATTTTCTTTGTTCTTTTATTTATTATCTTGTTTCTTAGACATGATCTAGTTATAAAGAAATATTATAGAAATATCCTACATTCCTTACTCTGGGTACAAAGGAATAATCTGCAATATATTGGCCTAGGTAGAAGGAAATATCCTGGTCTATTGGTCTGGGTTCAAGGGCATGGCTATGGTGTGTTAGTCACAATGAATGGACTCAAATTAATATTTTACTATTTTCATCTGGGTACTATATAGCCTTTGTTACCTTTGCATTAGTTTTGTATTGGATTTCTCAGGTTCATTGTCACTGATTATGTATTACCTGTAATCCAGTGATTGTTCCTGGCATGCAGATTTTGATACAGAGGATATGGAAAAGATACTAATTCTTCCTTGTAAGTGATTGTAAAACTTAGAGAGATCATGGATTTTAAAAAAATCACTGCAAAAAGATGTGGGGGAGATAAAGAGATTTTCTTCCCTCAGCGTTGCCGGTATCTGGATCGCTCTATGTGAAACTGCGGTGGAAGGTAATTGTATAAATAATTTAAAAGCAAGTTGCACAGCCAAAGTTGAGAAACTTACAAGGTTATGAACAAAAAAAATGACTCAGCATAATTTCTCTTTCCAGGAGCCAATGGAATCATGACTGTCCAAACAGCCTCTATGATTCTATCAAAATTTATCTAAATAATAGCAAGACTCAGATAACAAGGATCCTTGTTAAATGCGAGCTCCTGTGATATTTCAGGTGTGATTTCCTGTCTACAGATGTCACGATAGAGGATTTAAAGAGCAGCAATACAAAGCAGTAAATACATAAATGATCAGAATATACTCTTCACATTAAAGTCTTCCTCTTCTTTAAAATACAATGCACTATGCAAAACAAAAGGCTAATTCTGGTGATCCCCACAATGAAAATCCCACCCCTCATCATCCCTCATTTCTTATCTGCAGGTTGGGTTGTACTTTGAGCATCAAGCTTCAGGTGAAGCTTCTCCTGTAGCAACTAAAGTGGTGCTACTGAGTATAATAGCCCCTGGATACATGTTTGTCTGTGGCTCTTGGTGGGCAAGACCTCCACCCCTGGGTCTTGTTTCCTGGGGGAGGGCCACCGGTGGCCTTGCCAGGTTCTGTTTGGTTTATGTATTGGTATCCAACCTGTGAATATGTAACACAGGTCTCTTGCCAGCTTTCCAAACTGCTTTGGGCCTCTGATGCCTTAACAAGGTTCTGCCCATTATTTCAGTTGTGCTTGCTTTAATAGAAACAAACTTAGTGAATTTAGGGAAGTAAGGTACACTTAACCCTGAGATATCGCAATATGTGATTTACACAGGTCTTCAAATTCCCATCATGTAACGAATACCTGCTCTATGCTGCACTTGTATAACTGCACATCAGTCCAGAAACTATCAACTGCACAAGAATGCTCACAGCTCTCTCTTTGAAGATACCTTGCATGTGCATGACAGTACCAAAAAAAAGTCACAGATTGAAATAAATAGGCTGTGCATGACAAGACAGAATTTGTTTACAGGGATTGTTGCATTTAACCATTACAATACATACCATCATAGGTGAACAAATGGGAGCTCCTCTTCTCCTGCAAAATGCCTCTGATTACACATGTATACAATGCACAGCTAATCAGCTGAGTGTTAACTATTAGCGTTCTGTTGCCATTCAATATTTTGTGAGTTTCATCACTTTGTATTGCGTTACCTTCTTTAAGCCACAACACTGTAGTTAATTTCCCACTTTCCACAAGACAATTAAGGACAACAAAATTCAGTTCAAGGAAGGTATCTTGAATTATCAATGGATGTGGCAAAATATCTGTTAAGAGAGAGAATCCAATGAAGGCAATAACTGAACTTGGTTAGTCATTAAACAGCATAACAAACATGAGGGACAAGGTTTCTGTAGTTAGGACGATTATGGAAAATACAGTAAGGAATTGAAAATATTAATAAAGAACACCAAGTGAAATTATGAGAAAAACGTTTGACAGATTAAATTGAACTGAATCAAAAAACATTTTATCAAAACTGGAAGCCACGAAATTTAATAAAATCACAATGCACAATTTGGTTAAGTTAAAGGGCTACAAATTTGCAAACTGAAACCATGTGTTAGAGCTAGCCTGGCAATCAAACTACTTCCTTTAAATGGGGGCTTATTTTGGATGGAGCAGGAACTAGAATCTGAGCGAAAGACACATGAAGGGGTCATGGCAGAGGACAGGCTGCCCAAGATTTTCTGTCATCATTTTGTTAACGACATCAGGAGAGGTGCTGAGCTTAAATTTAATAATAAGGCTCCATTGTTAAGACTGGAACAATAAGTTTCTGTCATTTGGATCAGACATTCAGGGAGAACTGTCCAGTCGGCAACAAAAGTTCAGTCAGGGGTGGAGGTCACACTATTTTTAAGAGCTGCCAGCACTCTCTGAAATCAATCATCCCTGTTAAATTGCTCCTACTGAAGGACTGAGGAAGGTGGCTTGTGAGGGAAGATCCTGGGCGGCTCCACTATTTGATGATGCATTCCTGCAGGTTCTCTTTCAGGATGGTCAGGCAAGGTGGGAAATCCTCTTCCCTATGGAAGAGACCAGCCCACGTGGCCAAACAAATCTGATGGAGATCTCAGTGAAAGTCAGAAGCTATGGGATAGTCCATCAAACTTGGCAACACAGTGTCACATGAGTTGATGACATCATGCAGCCTGCCACAGTGAGCAGCACACATTGCTCAGATTAGAGGGCGAGATTGGTATAAGGGGTATGCCAACCAGGGGTTGTATTTCTGATGAAGTTCTGAAGAAGGGCCACCAGACCTGAAACGTTATCTCTGCTTTCTCTCCACAGATGCTGCCAAACTTGAGATTTTCCTAACAATTTCTGTTCTTGTCAATTTTTTTTAGCCCTTCTTGAGATTTGCGAGGACTACATATTGGTCATCAGGTCTCCCTTGTTACTGTCACTAACTGAATAGATGATTAAATGATGCGGTCACATAGCAACTTTACCTCAGCATTTCTTAATTTTTTTCCAGAGTTTCCTTCTTCAGACAGCTAAGATAATACAAATACCAAATACTGTAAATCTTTAAATCTGGAATCTATATACGACATGTTTTTGTTAATTTATTAAATCTCCCATATGCTTTTGAAATTAAAACTTTAAGTGATTGTTACAAGATAACTATGGTGAGTTTCACATCTGTGGCTCCTCTTAAAAATCAATTACAAGCTATTAGCACTATCCAGCATTAATTGCTTTTGCTTTGCCAAATTTCCCTCAAATCTTCTGCTTAAAGTGAGTGCTGACAAACATATCAAGATATTGACTTTCAAAAGTGCAACTGTACAAGGGAAATACACCCATTACTTTGGTAACACCAAGCTAACAGTCAGATAACGTATAGATTAATTCCCAAATACTTCATATTTCAGTGATTTTATTTCTAAGCTAAGGTATAACCTCACGATTGTCCATGCTTTAAAGAGACTCAAGTCCGAAATCCTTAGTGCACAAGCACTCAAGTTCATAAAAGACCCCAGCACTTTAGAGAGGTAGTAAACTGCGTCAGCTCCAAGTGAGATAGTTGTCAAATTATTCCCCGTTCTTACACCATGCAAAATCATAGTCAAATGTTGAATTAAGGTAAGTTTTACAATTATTTCTGTGAAATACAAAAATACAAGATAAAGCAAGAAAAACAAAAAAAAACTTGGATGAAAATTCCCGGCAGCGTTGCAACCAACACAACACCATTCATTTGCCAGACAGCCATATCTTCTTGAGATTGCCTAATGCTTCTACCACTGCCTCAGTTACATGCAGAAAGCCTTCCAAACATCTCTATTTCTGAATGCAGCTGTACTCTAACTTTTGATCCACAGATGACTAAAATCAGTAGTCTGTGTAGAGCAATGTAGTGGAACCTCCAGCAGCAGGTGGCGATGGTGAGGGAGGGCACTGACCAGCAGAACTTCAGCAGTTGGCCCGAGACCTCTGACTCTATCCTGGCCATGCCTGGACAAATTTCCGGGAATCCACAGATCAGCTGTAGGACGAGACTCTTTGGAGATATTTCCTTCCCATTCATGGCTGTGCTAGCTTGCAAATTCCAGCAGTCATTTTTCTTTGCTGATCACAGATATGCTGCTGTCTGTGCTACTCATTGATTTGTGGAGAAGTATGGAACCTGATCTCAAAAATGGCTTCCTCTGTCCTTTTCTCTAATGGCAACATGGAACACATTAACCTTGTAAAACTATGTAGAAATGCTAATTTTTAAAAAAATTCCAACTCCTTTCCATATTAGATTCCCTCTCATCTTGGAAGTGACTGGCCAGTTTACAACCTGCAAAGGGGGAGATTTCAAGCGTAATTCACTGTAACACGAGACTGAAACACTTGGAAGCTTCACCAGTGTTTATTCATGCATGTGCAAAGGAGACACGCTCCTGTGGGAAACTGATCTTACCCAAGCTGTTACAGAACATTGTTTCAACGTACCAATGGAGTAGAAAAAATAATGCAACACCAATCATTAATAATACAAGTCCATTTATCCAATCATGGTCAAATTCCATCTATGTTTGACCAGTAACTTAATTATTGCCAGGGCCAGTGCATAGGAAGGAGGGTAGACAAACAGATGGCCAACTGCTATGTCCCTAATATTTTGATGGGGCACTTAATCTCTATTGGAGCTTCATATCAGTTTACTTCTCCAGTTCAATGGCTTACTGTTTTAGGGCAGCACATTGAGTCTCTTCTCACGGGCAAAAAGCTATTTGATCAATGTCTAGTATCGTTCACATGAGAGTGTTATCATTTAATTGTTGTGTGACTGTTTGTAACTTTGTGATGGGACCATTTGTTTCAACCTTTTCTCCTCTGTCTGTGCCTTGTCTGTTCTAACATGTCTAAACACAACCTTATTGCAAATTTATTCAACCAACTTTCCTAACCTACATTACTTAATCCAAGTACTATGTTAAGACCTAAAAGTTTTATTTTAATTTTTTCCCCTTTCACAACCCATGACCTTCAATGTTTTTCTGGTATTTTGGAAAACTCCATTATTCATTGCAAACTCAGATTACAGCCAACCATAAATACCTTGCACTCTTTCAATAAAGCAATCTATGCCTCCCTTTGAGCTCTAAACAATTGAATCACCGTGCTCCCAGTCAGGGAGACACTGGAACAGGTCACAATTTATTTTATGGTTAAAATTACAGTTCCAAAATACAATAATTGTATTACTCTCCCTGTAACTCAAACCCTCCAGTCCCAGCAGCATCCTTGTAAATCTTTTCTGCAATTTCTCAAGTTTAACAACATCCTTCCTACAGAAGGGTGACCACAATTGTACATAGTATTGTAAGAGTGGCCTCACCAATGTCTGTACAGCTGCAACAATACATCCAACTCCTATTATCAATATTCTGACCAACAAAGGCAAGCATGCCAAACGCCTTCTTCACTATCCTGTCTACTATCCACTTTCAAGTAAATACGCATCTTCACCCCAGTCTTTGTTTGGCAACACTCCCCAGGACCCTACCATTAACTGTATAAGACCTGCCCTCAAGTCTCGTACCAAAATGCAACACCTCACATTTAGAGTCAGAGACGTACAGCACAGAAACAGACCCATCAGTCCAACTCGTCCACACCGACCAGATGTCATAAATTAATCTAATCCCATTTGCCAGCATGGTCTATAAGCATCTAAAACCTTCCTATTCACATGCCCATCCAGATGCCTTTTAAAAGTTGTAATTCTACCACTTCCTCTGGCAGCTCAATCCGTACACACAGCAACCTCTGCGTGAAAAAGTTTGCCCTTAGATCCCTTTTTAATCTTTCCCCTCTCACTTTAAACCTATGCCCTCTAGTTTTGGACTCCCCCACATCAGGGAAAAGCCCTAGTCTACTTACCCTCTCCATGCCCCTCATGATTAACCTTCATAATGTCATCCCTCCGCCTCTGACGCTCCAGGGAAAATAGCCCCAGCCTATTAAGTATCTCCCTACAGCTCAAACCCTCCAACCCTGGCAAGATCCTTGTAAATCCTTTCTGAACCCTTTCAAGTTTCACAACATCCTTTCTATAGCAGGGAGACAGGAACTGAACTCAGGATTCAGAGACTGGCTTAACCAATGTCCTGTACAGCTGCAACATGACTGCCTAATGCCTATATTCAATGCACTGATGAATAAAGGTAAGCATACCAAATGCCTTCTTCACTATCCTGTCTACCTGCCACTCCACTTTCAAGGAACTATGAACTTACACTCCAAGGCCTCTTCGTTCAGCAACACTCCCCAGGACCTTACCTGATTTGCCTTTCCAAAATGCAGCACCTCACATTTATGTAAATTAAGCTCCATCTGCCACTCCTTCGCCTTTTGGCCCATCTGATCAAGGTCCTGCTGTACTCAGAGATAACCTGCTTCGCTGTCCACGACACCTCCAATTTTGGTGTCCTCTGCAAATTTACTAACCGTCCCTTCTATGTTCACATCCAAATCATCTTGAAAAATGTCCATATTAGAGGTGGTGGTGCCAGCCATCTTAAAACAAAGGTGGATAAATCCCTGGGACGAGATCGTGTACCCTAGAACTCTGTGGGAAGCTAGGGAACTGATAGCTGGGGCCCTTGCTGAGATATATGCATCATCAATAGCCACAGGTGATGTGGTGTATATGGATTTCAGTAAAGCATTTGATAAGGTTCCCCATGGTAGGCTATTGCAGAAAATACGGAGGCATGGGATTGAGGGTGATTTAGCGGTTTGGATCAGAAATTGGCTTGCT